GCCGAGCCCCTCACTTACGCCAGCCCTCGCAGATCATGAATCCAGGCATCGTTGCTCCATTTCCCTGCCCTATTTATTCTATTGCCCTATTTTAAAAATTATTTTTGCCTGTCAGTAGGGAATTTAAAAGTAAAATATGGAGAGGACAGAAATTCACTTTTTGGATTCCCTTGTCTGCTTAATCCCCAAGCAGAATGTGCGCCTTGCCATCCAAAAGGTATCAGTTACCTCATTAACCCCTTTCCTGTAAAGTAGGGCTATTAATAGTATCTACCCCATTGGATCATTGTGAGAATTAAGTGTGTTACTACATGTAAAACACTGTGATGGTAACTGTGCTCTCAAAGTACCGTTAATAAATTCCAGCAAGTCACCATGGGCAACGTCGGGGTGCTAAAACAGAGCTTTGCTCCTCAAAACTTCGGTTTGTAGGCTGCATAACTAAGTTTGTTTTCAGAAAAAGCATGTCTCTGCCCTAGACCTCAAGCTCCGTTTCAACTGAGATGCCCCAAAATGGAACAAGCTCCTTACGGGGGTGGGGGGTGTGGTGGGGGGGGCATGAAGAGGTCATCCCTAGGGTTCGAAGCCTCCGATTCCACCCACACTCGGGGGACAGAGAATTGCAACAGGAAGAGGTGGACTCTGCCTGCCGGCGGCGCCTGGGGACGCCTCCTCGAAGACCACACTGAACGGTCTCCAGGACCCTTCAGAGAAGAGGCCTGCTGTCAGCAGCTGCGATCACCTGCTTGGAATCTCTGAAAACCCTGAGGACGCTTTAGAGATGTATGCTTCAACCTGCGGGGCACCCTTGAAATTTTAATTCAATGAACCTGTCCGAACCGTCCACTCAGGAGAAAGATTGGCACACCACAGGTGTGTGTGTGGGGTCGGGCGGGAGGATGCTTCATTATTCATTCTAACTGGGAAGACAAGTAATTTCAGAGTGACGAGCCAAAAACGGGAAGGGACAGACAGAGCAAGCAAGTGAGATAAAGAGACAGAAAGGCAGATGGATGGAGGGATGGACCAACAGACAGGCTGACAGATGCATACACACACACATAGAAGCATACATACACACAGACGTGCGGAAGAGGTCTGCAGGCTGCTGAGAAGGGTAGAATGAGAGACATGCTAAAACAACCTTTTGTTCGTCACTCGAGAAACATAAAGGCACCCGAGATCTCGGCCTGTACATCAGGCCCGAAAAAGCTCATTGAGAAGTTCGGTCATGGCCCTGTCCTTATCCCACAGCCCCGGGGAAAGCCTGCATTAACTCCCATAGTCGCTGCGCCCGCTCGCTCAGTCCTGGGAAAATGTCAGGATCTTTTACCTTTTGTGGAACACAGGCTACAGCAAAGGCACTTTTCTTTTTCTGAGACTTTTTCAAGGTTTCTATTCTCTCTGCTACAATTCGGAAGATTTCCTTTTCGACGGTGATGGAAAGCACAAAGAGGCATTGAGCTCAGCCTGCAGATTGCTGGAAACCTCTCACATCCCTCGGAATGAGAGGGGCAGCCACGCTCAGCAGCTACAGTGTATAAATTCGGAAGGAGTGATTTCATAGCCTCGGGCCACTCGAGGAGGAGGCCACACAGTGGTCTGTCCTCTTCCTTCCCGAAGATGCGGGGACTGAGGTAGTTAGGATCCAATCTGGGCTACCCAGCGCCTCTCTTTCTCGTCTGTGAAGCAGAAACACAACAGCACAGTGACGACAGGAACAACAGGCTGACACTCAGACCGCGCAGTGAAAGCGCCGGTGATGTCTGTTCCGCAGGCCCGAGCCCGGCCGCAGAGCAGAGAGAGTCTGCCCTGTGCAGTGCGGGCACCGTCCGGGCCTCCTTTGGTCCCCAAGAAGCAAATCCAGATAGATGGCCCGGCGGTCCCGGGCGCCTACGCGATTACAATTCTGTTATTTACTGCACGGCCGCAGTGAGCACACACCTGTGGTGGGGAATATTCAATGCAGATGTCTGGGAGGCAGCTTTGCCAAAACTGTCAGAAAATGCATGTGAGGAAATTATCTCCCGGTCCCTGGGTGGGTATTGTCTTTTATTGTCTCGTATATTGAAATCTTTCCTTTTCGAAAGATGCGGTTTTAAAAGACTGCTCTGTGGAGGGCGTGGGGAAGGGGAGCAGGGAGAGAAGATGAGGGAGGGAGGATAGCACAGGAGCCCCCCTCGCCCCACCCCTATCCCTCCCCCGGAGTAACCTGGGCTGCAGATGCTCCTCATCCCGCTGTTGCTCTAGAGGGAGCCCTGAACCGGGGGCCCATCTGGAGACCACGGGGACTTGGGGTGGGGACGAACTCCTGGGGCTGTGAGGAGGGAGGATGCAAAGGACGGAGCCGGTGTCTCCGGGCGGGGCCAGGCTGTGTGGGACCAAAGGCCCAGCCGCTTAACGTGGTAAGAAGAGACCCTGGCATTCGCCCAGCGCAGAAGGGCCTAAGGGCTGGCCAGGGCGAAGCCAAAAGTAAAGGAGCTTCAAGTGCCAATTTAGGAATGTCAAACCCCTCCAGAGAGAATGGAAAACAATCGTTATCCGGACTATCCTAGCGCCTGTGAGGGCCCTCCAGGAAGGAGGACCTGGAAACCCACAGAAAGACGGCCTGCCCTGCGAGAGCAGGCTCCCCTCCACCCTCCTGCACAGGAGTGGCCGCAGGCAGAATGGGAGGTTAAACCAGGAATTGGACCCTGGGGGCTATCGCGGGGAGCTTTCAGCTGGGCTGTAACAATGGCTGGTTTGTTGGGGGTTCACCTAAGTCTTAGAGGAAAGACAGCTTGAGGTGTGCCCTGCTAGAGCTGCTCCTCCCCTGAGAATGGTCTGGAAGCGGGAGGAGAGGACACAGAAGGAAGGGCAACAGGTCATGAAGGCCGCCTGGCCTCTCCTTAGTGTGGAAAGCCACAGAGGCCCTGGCCGGGTGGCTCATTGGTTGGAGCATCGTCCCCATACACCGAAAGGTTGCAGGTTCAATCTCCGCTCAGTGCACATAGGAAGGCAACCTATCACCATTTCTCTCTCACGTCGATGTTTCTCTCTATATATATAAAAGCAATAAAAATATCCTCAGGTAAGGATAAATAAAAGAAAAGCTCTGGCCCAGGAAATACAAGTCAGTATTTCATCCAAGCTTGTGGGTGACTACACGGGTTTGGGGTATCATCCAAGTCGCAAGGAAGAGTGGCCTCAGCTTGGCTCTGCACTCTGCGTCCGCTCTCAGGGAGCTCTCGGGGGGCGGGGGGCCGGGGGGGTGAGTTACAAGAGAGAAACACACAACCTGCGCAAAGCACGGTGCACAGCAGTTCCCTATCGGCATCTCGGGGAACCTGAGGACCTACTGAGAAGTTCCGCACCCGGCAAGGGTAGGGAGGGGGGCTAGAAGGACCCACCACCCCTCAGTCCACGCGGTGGAGGCAACACCCAGCTCCATCAGACCTGGGGAGCTAACCCGGCCCAGGTAAAGTAAGAAATAGATCCAAGGTCCTCTCAGAGAGATGTCCCACCCAACTGAAGAGAGAACACAGAACAGTGGTCATGACTCGCTGCCGTAAGGACGATACAAGATGCCTGGGGTGTGCTGCCTCTCTGGGGCTGTTTCCTTTCTCTTGTCCTGTTTCCCCAGGGTGAGCATCCCTGGAGCCTTGGACCAGGTGCCCTGCCTGCTGGAGGAAGCAGGGAAACCAGAGAAAGAACCTTGTCCTCTACAACCAGGCTGACTGGGAAGGGGAAAGCCCCCCAAGAAGCAGGTGACAGCTCAGAAGAGGACGTGCGGGTCAGGCTGAACCTCAGAGCCTTCGTGGCTCAGTGAGTGGGAAGCCAGTGACGGGTCGTGAAGAAGAACCGCAGTGAAGAGCTCAGCCCTGAGCTGGGAGGGAGGAGCCCTGAGCGCAGGTGTGGGCTCCGCACCCAGCTCTGTGGGCAGGTCTTCTCGCCTCTCCGGGCCGATCGTAATCGGTAAAGTCGGAGTTGCCTCCTCCTCTAAGAAACTGGCCAGAGCAGCAGGATCCCAAGGCGATGGGTGTGGGAGGGGTCGGCCCGGGTACAGAAAATGAAGGGCACATTGTCGTTAGAGAATTTAAAAAAAACTGACCTGATCATTCTGCTTTTTATCATCATCCTGCAAAGGGGGTTGGAAGCAATATAGGGGCCACAGTGCTCACTCCGCCGGGTGTTTTGTGACACACACACCCCATATGCTGTGAGGCCAGAGAGCCCCCCATTGGCAGGAAGCCCATGGCGGACCTTCGCCACGCGCTCAATGACGGCTGTGCTGACGCTGAGACACGGCACTGCTGAAGAGTGAAGAGCGGGGTCGTAGCCCGAAGAATGGCCCCAAAGACACCAGGTCCTAATTCCTGGAACCTGTCAACGTCACCTGACTTGGCAAAGACTTTGCAAACGTGATGAAATGAAGGATCTTGCGGTGGGAGATTATCCAGGATTAGCTCTGTGGGCCCTGCTGCCATCACAGGTGTCCTCCTGCGACGGGCAGAGGGAGACCTGACACAGGGAGCGGAGGCGGCAGGGTGCCTGCCCTGAGCACCGTGAGGAGCTCGGAGAGGCCGGTAACGCACGCCCCTAGGCCTCCAGGGGGAGCCCGGCCCCACCAACACCGTGTTCTAGCCCAAACCTCATTTCAGACTTCTGGCCTCCAGAACAGAGACATACATTTCTCTCCTTCTCTCTTTTATTTTTATGTTTTTATTGATTTTTGAGAGAAAAGAAGGGAGAGGGATAGAGAGAAACATCCATGTGAGAAACATCCATCAGCTGCCTCCTACTGGGGGTGGAGCCCGCAACCCATGCACGTGCCCCACCGGGCGACCTTTGGGTGCCAGGGGACAACACTTGGCCAACTGAGCCACACCAGCCAGGGCTCGCGTTTTCAGACCCCAAGTGTGTGGTGATCTGGTACAGACAGTGACAGGAAGGTCACTGGAAGGAAGAATGACCCTCTTCCAGGGGAAGCACGGTCTCTATGTTAGGACTCCCGTGGCTCCATGGCTCACTTCCACCTGGAGCCCAACATTCCAGAACATCAGGCGGCCTCGGGAAACACTACGGGGAAGCCTTGTGGACACAGCGTCGGGGAAACAGCTTCGCTGGTCCCAGTTCCCCATTCAACCTCTAACAAACCCTGCCCCGAAGACGACGGTGCCGCCCACCACCGTTGCAGTGCCCCTAGGAGGTTAGTGTGAATGTGCAGCAGAGCAGGGCTCCTGCAGTCCTGAGACCCATCCTGGCCGGGACATTCTGGGTCCAAGACACCTGGACAAGTCCCGGAACACCTTCCCTGTCAGCTCTGCCCGTCACTCTCGTCGGGAGGTGGGGGAGGGGGGGTGCCTTCGGGGAACACCCTTTGTGTGCTGTTCGGCCAGCAGATCATCTGTCTGTTACATGAAGCATTTCACTGGTGACCCGATTTCTCACGCCACACATCACACAAACCAAAATCCCTGCCTAGAGTGAAAACGGGAGACAGGATAGCGCCAGGAGTCTAAATAAACCGGGTTTGTTTGCACCCCAGTGGGCAGAAGTAGCACAACCAGCTCTCCTGGGCTCGACTTCCCCCTTCAAAGAAGGAAACTTAAAAAGCAATAAAGTGCCATGAGAAATGGGAGTAATTCTGGCTAATAAACTTACTGAAAACGTGAGCTGCCTCTGCAGCTCATCCCAGGTGTGCTCCCGCCTTCCGTCGGCATGCTGCTAGCCAAAGCCCTGTCGGTAATGAATTTATGCGAATCAAAACACGGCTTAACTACACTGACAAGAGTTGCTCATGAAACAAATCTCCCCGCAAAGTCTTTCATAATGTGAGGGCTCCAATTTTAATTTATTTTTGATGAAAATCTGGATTCTTCCCATCGCATTTGCTTAAGGAGAGGTGCGGATTTACAGGTACAAATTCAAGTGGGTTCTGCTCCACTGCCAAGGTTAATTGCCCGCCCTCCCTCCAGGGCAGCCGGGATCCCAAGCCTCCAGGGCACCGCTTTTGCAAGAGGAGCTCCCCTAGCAATTTCTGCAACGTACTCCCAGGGCGAGGTGCATCAGGGCCACTGAGTCAGGAGAATGACAAGGGTCCCCCAGTTGTAAAATGCTCCTATTGCGGGGGTGGAGGGGGACATTTTTAGTGAGCAAATAACAAAAGGTGATTTTTGACATTTTTAAACAAAAGGATGAACTCAAAATATTCTAATTTTATAATAGAATTTAGAGAATAAAGGGAGGGGGGAAAGAGCTAAAGAGAAAAAAATAGAGAGAGAGGATAAAGAGAAGGAAGACCAAAATAAAGGAAATAACAGAGTCACAAATACTAGGGAGAGAGAAGGAAGGCTATAAGGAGAAAGAAGTACACAGAGTTCCAAAAATTTAGAAAAATTTATCACTGGGCTTGTGAATTAAAAGATGCCCCCTGGCCCTAGCAAGTTTGGCTCAGTGGATAGAATGTTGACCTGCAGATTGAAGGGTGCTGGGTTCAATACCGGTCAAGGGCACATGCCCAGGTTGTAGGCTCCATCCCCAGTGGGGGGCATGCAGGAGGCAGCCAATTAATGATTCTCTCTCATCATGGATGTTTTTTATCTCTCTCTCTCTTCCTCTCTAAAATCAATAAAAGTATTTTTTTAAAAAAGATGCCCGTGTACTACTAACACCTTACATTGTGCAATGTTTTACAATTTCCTTTTTTTTATTGATTTTTAGAGAGAGTTAAACATCAATGTGAGAAAGAAACATGGATCGGTTGCCTCCCACACGCACCCAAACCAGGAATCAAACCCACAGCCTGGGTATGTGCCCTGACCGGGAATCGAACCTGCCACCTGTTTTGTTGTATGTGGGACCACATTCCAAACAACAGAGCCACCTGGCCAGGGTCGTTTCACAACTTTCAAACAGCCTTCCTTTTTGATCCTCGCATCATGATGAACATGCCGTTTTCTATTGAGCGAGCACAGGCTATTTGTCTCCTGCTCAATAATCCACAGCTCCCAGTGCGGTGCCCGACTCTGAGGCCAGGCCTCCTGGTTCCCAGCTCTGCATCTTTCCATCATCTTCCTGAAAGCTGAGTGGACATACAGTGCACCCTGGAATCCTCACCTGCTTCTTTCAGTGTGTGTAGAGAAAGACCTTGAAATCACCCCCAACCGGTCTGTACTAAATTATACTCATAATCTGTCTTAATTCAGGTTGCTGCAACAAAATACCACAGACCAGGGGGCTTGCACGATATTCTGTACTCACGGTTCTGGAGTTTACAAGTCCAAGATCAAGGTGCTGGCAGATTCAGTGTCTGGTGAGAGTAGGCTTCCCCATGTGAGTTCACATGGTCTATCCTCCATGCATGCTCGAGGAGAGAGCTCTCGAGTCTCTTCCTCTTCTTGGAAGGGCACTAATCCCATCCTAGGGCCCCACCCTCATGACCTCATTTAAACCTAATTACTTCCCAAAGACTTCACTGCCAAATACTAAAACGTGGGGGGTCAGGGCTCCAACATTATTCATTCGGTTAATAACAACTGAGCCACAGAATCCATGGTTTGTCAGAAGTTTCCCCTCATAAGGAGTGAGGCTAGGTATTGGTATGGACCACTGGCCAATGCTGATGTGGGAAGGGCAAGGGGAGAAAGAAAGCAGAAGAGAGGGGCTCTGGGAGGCCCCTCTTACCTCAGGCTGCCCCAGACAGAACCACAAAGTGCAGGAACTTGACCCTGGATCTCCCACCTCTCTTGGAAGCCTCCTGTCCTTGGGCAGTATTCCCTCTCTTCCCAGGGAGCCCCGGCTCCCCAGGAGCCACCCAACCCCGCCTGCCCCCTGCTATGGACTGAATGTTTGTGTCCTCCCAGGGTTCATAGGTTGAACCCTAATTCCCCAGTTGGTGCTATTTGGAGATGGGGTCTTCGGGGGTGGTTGGGCCATGGTGATAGAGCCCTCATAATGGGACCATGTCCTTATAAGAGACACAAGAGCTTGCTTCCATCCCACCCCCCAACCACCTGCCATGTGAGAAAACCAGGAAAACAGTCCTAGCAGAACCAGACCACACAGGCACCATGACCTCAGACTTCCCAGCCTCCAGAGCTGAAGGAAAGTTTGTTGTTTAAGCCACTCTGTCTATGGCAGGGGTGGGCAAACTTTTTGATTCAAGGGCCACAATGGGTTCTTAAACTGGATCGGAGGGCCGGAACAAAAGCATGGATGGAGTGTTTGTGTGAACTAATATAAATTCAAAGTAAACATCATTACATAAAAGGGTACGGTCTTTTTTTTTTTTTTTTTTTTGTTTTATTCATTTCAAACGGGCCGGATCTGGCCCGTGGGCCGTAGTTTGCCCACGGCTGGTCTATGGTGTTCTTGCTGTAGCAGTCCCAGCTGACTAAGACACCCCCTCAACTTGAAAATGAGCATCTTTGCTTTTCCAGCATACAAATCCTTATGCCACCACACAACACTTGTGCGTGTGCACACGCGCACACACGCACACACACACACACACACACACACAGTGGTGTGCTGGTAAATGCTCACCAGTGCGCTCTCTCAAAGAAAACAGCCCTGGCCTGAAGGATTTCCATTGCGGTGGTGTGAATACTGTCACTGTGGCTCATTTCAAGTGACCGACATGACGTCACTGACCAGGGAGTCAGGAAGAGACGCACAGTCACCAGGATATAGCATCCCCCCCCCCCCCCACA